AACAATATTTTTATTTGTCTCAATCATTTAAAAATATAAACAGCACTCTTAGGTTGCAAGCCATACAAACAGGTTAGCAGGTCAGATGCTGTCCATGAGCCATAGTAGGCCAACTCTTGGTCTAGACATCAATAGTAACTGTAATTATGTGCTTACTGCTATTAAATGCTCACAAAGGGAGAATAGAAGGCTATGGGGCATTTAGTGAGGAGACACTAAATGGCCTAGTTTGAAGAATCAGAGAAGTCTTCCAAGGAAGTGAACTGTAGGATGCAACTTAAGGTAACCAGTCAAAGGCCAGGGTGGGAAAAGTGAAGACCCTTCTAAGCAGGTGAGGAGCATATGGAAAAGTCCTGATGGAAGAAGGCACAAGGCTGCCTGAAGAAGCCGTGAGGCTCGGAGTGAAGGGGGCATGGGAAGCAGGAACGTGAGGAGGCAGCCCACCTTGCTGGCCACGCTAGAAGACTCTAGGCTTTGTCCCCAAAGTAATCAGAGCCACTGAATGATTTTAAGTAGGAGAGGAATACAATCACTTTAGATCTTTCAATGATCATTAGGGCTGCAGCACAAAGATAAGAAGTAAGTCTAAATGGCTACAAGGAGATCTGTAAGTACTAGCTGGAGTTGACAGACCTTTGGGACTGGGATGTTGGCAGTGACACCAGGAAGGTAAGATGTGATGATTAGCTTGGAAGAGTGGAAGGCAGGCTCCCTCCATGACTTGTGCTCCCCATTCTCACAACTAAGACACTGGTATCACTCAGTGACCCAGACATACTTAAAGAGACATGGGACAAGAAATAAGTTTTGAGTTCCGTTTCAGTTTTAGGCATGCTGAGTTGAGCACCTATACAACATTCTAGTGTCAAACAATTGCTTGTAACAGAGGTCAGGAGAGGTTTGTTTCAATTCAGTGATTCAGTTTGGGAATTGCTGGGAGAGACTATAACTGAAACCACTGGAGATGAAACCACGTAGACAAAGGTGATTCTCTCAATCACCAGTGGAACTTTAAAAAATTTTGGTGCCGGGTAGCACCAATGAACCAATTAAGCCAGAATCTCTGGGAGACCCAGGCATTGGCATTTTTTAAAGTTCTCCAAGTAACTGTAATGTGTAGCCCATGTTGAGAATAATAAGATACTGAGAATTAACAGCATTCAAGTCCAGGTTTCTAGTCCTCATAACTCATTGCCCTGACCTGACTACTTCATATTTCTAAGCTGCAGCTGGATCAACAGAAAAGTAAAATGGTAATACTGGTTTATGCCTAATATCTCCTGGTATCTCCAAAATGTAGTCAAACCTACAAAAGTGAAATATTTCCTTCTCCCTTGGTAGTTTGAGAAGGAAGGAACATGGTTGGGGGCATAAACCAACTACCAGGAGTAAAATATATTTTATAATAATTCTCTTCCTGGGTCAACAGCATTTTTGAATGACAAAATTAACATATCAAGTAATATCTTAACTGTCAGGCCTGGAAACATTCTAACTGGCTAAGCTCTGCTAGACTACGCAATGGTCCCTGGCTGGCAAATGCAGGTGGTACAAACTGGTGGCATGAAATTTAACTTGGAAATTCTTTGATTCAAAATTGATCTTTCTAAAGAGTAAAAAAAAGTGAATAGCAACTTAAGATTCAGCAACTATGCACAGGAACACTGAGGAAGTATGCAGCTCAACATTCCCACAACCCGAGCTAGAGTTTTCATCTACTACTAGGCAGCTCTGTGACTTCAGGCAAGTTTCTTAATCTGTAAGTCTCAGTTTCATGAGCTGTAACAAGGAAGTAAAATCAACCTGAATTACTGTGAAGATTAAAACATGAAAATGACTCTGAAAATAGTTATGTAATAACATCACCATTTCTACATTATTTCCCAGCCAATATTCACATTAACTTTTTGATTTACTTGTGGTTTTAGTTTTGGGTGAGTTTTTTTTTTTTTTTTTTTTTTTCCCGAGACAGGGACTTTCTATGTAGCCCTAACTGGCCTGGAACTCACACTAGTCTTGAACTTGCAGCAATCCCCGAGCCTCGGCCTCCTGAGAGCTGGGATTACAGGCCTGAGCATCAACCCAGCTTGATTCATATATTTTGAGAGTGAATTCCCTATGCTAACAGCACAATATTCGTAAGATTTTGTGTGTGTGTGTGGCATGATCTTTTAGTTCCTTTTTTTTTCTTTTTTTTTTTTGTGGCATGATCTTTTTAGTTTTTTTTTTTTTTAAGGCATGATCTTTTTAGCTTGCTTTCCAGATCATGTTTTTAATTGAACAGTTTTGTCTACTGTTAACTCCCACTGTCATCTTTAAATTTCATTTGTATCATCTGACTTCAAATTCTACACAGTAGGTATGATTACAGTAGTATAAAATTCTGTTAACACATTCTAACCTAACCAGTGAATTACTCCTGTCTTTCATCACTCTCAGAATAAGGTATGACAGTTAAGACGAGACAGTTAAATGCATAGCCCTCAATGTGAAGAGCTTGGGACCAGACAGCACCCAAAAGCTTCTTAAGTCAGATAGAAAAGGGACAGTTTGGTCAACTGGACTCTCCTCTTTGCCTCTTTCAATTCCTAAGGTTAGAACTGAAGGACACAGAATTTCAGAGGCCTGCAAAATCTCCAGGCTTTCAAAGCACTGCTGTGAGAAATAATGATCTACCCATTAAGGACAAAGACTTGTGGCAATTTGCTAAGTAATCTTTCAAAAACCTCCTTCATTTAAACTAGTTTGTCAATGAGAAAGAACATTTAATAAATCTGAAGATTTACAAGTGAACTTTGAAGTTTAACATTACAAGAAAAGAAATTATGTCAGGTTATAGCAGAAGAAATGAATTATGGAGAGGTAGGAATAAATTTTGAGTCTTATGGAGGATTAGTGTTGTAAAAAGAAACTCCAGACCATCTTACTATTTTATGCTCCCTTCTAAAAGTCTTTCAGGCAGAGTATCATGTACTGGCTTGTTCTGAGCAATTACCAACAATGTGTAATGTTTACTAATTAGGGACAGGAAAAAAAAAAAAAAAACCCTAAGCATTCTTTACGATCCCAGTGTCACTAGACACTGTTAACATCCTTAAATGTAGGTAACTAACAACACAGCATAAATAATTTTGCCAATAATTTGATTCTTCAGCAGTGAACTACCAGCATAGGATATAGCATTTTACATTTAAATCCCAAAACAGGATAATAATTTGGTGGGAAATTATGATGTCTAAGACACGGTCATGAAAAAGATAATAACACCAGGATAGACTGCAGGAGATCAAAGTTCATTCAGAAGACCATAAAGTCATTTATGAGCATCTAAAACATGGTAAGAGACTAGGTGGGGAAATAAATTATACTTTGACACTAAATCCTAGTAC